GGAGCAATCTAACGCGCTTATGAACTTGGCGTGTTGGATCTTCCGCAGTATCACGTCCATATAAGGCAGCGGATACGCGGGGACTCTCGTCTCCGCGTTCACCTTCCTGTAATCTATGCAGAAACGGTAAGTGCCGTCTTGTTTCGGGGTCATGACGACGGGGCTCGACCACTCACTTTTCGACTTCCGGATGATTCCCATGCGCAGCATCTTCTGCACCTGCTCGTGCATCTCATCCTCAATCTTCTTTGATACGGGGTAGTACCGTTGCTTGATAGGACGTGCGCATTTCAAATCGATATCGTGCTCGATCCAGCTCGTACAGCCAAGCTGTTCACAGGGTGGATCGGGTAGCAAACTGTGCATTAGCTCATCGATTTCTCTGCGCTGACTTTCGGTAATTTCCTTTATACCGAGCGAGGTCAGTGAGATGAGTTCCTCAGCCCGCATTGAAGAAAGCGCGGCCGGGATTGGCTCGTCACAGCCCTTGACCTTCAGCGTGTTCGCCTCCGGGTCGAGCATCGCTGAAAAAGCGCGGGTGAAGTCGGCACCTAAAGTGCACTCTGTGTCGACTTCGGACAAAATCAGAACATCGAGCCAATGCGTTAGCCCACCTAAAGTGAAAGGTAGGCTTACGTTGCCCAAAACTGGCACGTAGTGTCCATCGACGGCTTTTGCCCCGGGGCCTACGTACGGATGTACTCGGCGGTTAAGCGCCGAGGCGATTTGTAACGCGTTTGGGCCGAGGACAGTGCGGGAAGCTCCGGTGTCATACAGCCCCCTAAATGGATAGCCGCCGACGTCTACCGTCAGCCACCACCGGGGTGACTTCTCTACGACGGCGCTGACTACAGTACCTCCATCACATGGCGGCTGCGCGTCGGTCGGATTACTCAAGGCTAGCATGGAGTCATCCGCCGGGCTGCGAAGCGCCTGCGCTACTCCTGTAACGCCGTCCGTAGCGCAGGTCCGGTCTTCCCGAGGAGCGGTAGGGACCCCTACTACGCGCTCCCCCTCTCGTTTTTTGGCTCTGCTAGTTTGGCTGAGCACTCCGGGCAGGAGAACCGGGTATGACCGGGCCAGCTGCAATTCCAGCAGAGAACTTTGTCGCCACTGGGGCCAATTTCTTTGTCCTTATTCTTGTCGGACTTTGGGGTGACGATCTGGGCTTGATTGCCTTCGGGACGGCCACCGCTTCTGCCTCCACGGTTTCCGCCTTTCCCGCCTCGGCCACCGCCTGGCGGTCCTCTGGACGCTGCGCCGGCCTCGGCCTTTGCCGCCGCCTGAGCACCCTGCTGGGGCTTTGCTACAGCACCTTGGCTTCGGGTAGACGACGTCTGGGCTGTTGCCCCGCTGGTCGGCTTGAGTTTTTGCTCCAAGAATTCCCTGAGGCACGCTTCCCAGTTCAGCTCCGCAGCATGTTCGCTGACCGAGGCGATGCCGGTTGGCTTTATTCTGGCCGCCCTCGACCTGGGCTTATAAGCCGCTTCTGGCAGCATACTTTGTTCCGCTGGAGGAGGAGGTCTCCATTGGCCTACCTCATCGTCCTCTGCTTCTTGAGCTCTTTCCAGCAGCTCTTGAAAGTCGGTCAGGCTATCTTTGCACCGCTTTAGTCGTCGTTGCAGCCGTGGAAGCATATTATCTATGACCAGGTTCACTTGGTCCTGCGCCTCCCAAGGCTCCTCGAACCGGCCGAGAATGGTGAGAAGAGAGACGACGTAGTCTCTCACGGGCTCATCTTCCCCCTGAGTGCGCAGTTGAGCTTCCACGATCAGGCTCCTTCTGTTCCTTTTCGTCTTGCTGTACGTCTTGAGTGCCGCGTCCTTGAATTCTTGGTACGTTTTCCATGCGGGCCTCAAAGCTCGAAACCAGAACAGCGCAGGCTTCTCGAACAGCGGCGTCATCGAGTCCAGCAGTTCGTCTTCCGCAACTCGGTCTAACCGGCGATTCTCCTCTACCTGCTCCAGGAACTCCTCAATACTAACTCCTTTTTCGCCCGAGAATTTTATCTTCCACTCCCGGACCGTCTTTCCAAAGTGCTTGCTCATAAAGCGCGACATTTCCATCGTGTTAAGAGTGTGAGGCGAGGGACCCCCCGTGCTGTGGCTTGCTGCCTGTCTCGACACCGGGAGCGCGAGCGAATCGTCCACCGTCTTCGGCACAACCTCCCTCCCCCAGCTCGAGCTTGCGGGGATAAAATGGCCAAACGGCAGTGAGTGCGTACTTGCCACTATAGTTGCCATTTGCGGCCTCTCGTACTGATTTTGCGTGGACGGTCTCGTGGTTGAGTGAAATATCGGCGCTTGTGGGTTCAGTGTTGAGGGCGACGGTCGTATCGAGCCATCGAACTGGCTTGACAGCTCGTAGTAGTTCAAATCGAACGTGTCCTGGAAATGAACTCCTTTGCTCGATCGTGTCGCGTTCCAACGCGCTTGGTTTTCGGCCGTCTGCTGTTGAGCGTTAGCGACTACGCTTTTCATTTGCGCCTGTAGATCGCTGTTTACTCGCTCTGCATTGTTTTTTTCCGATCGTAATGTGGCGATGGTTTGCAGTAGTTCCTCTATTCGTTTTTCTTGTTTTGTATTACGCAGCATTAATTCTTGCATTTCTGCTTGCTGTGTAGCCCAGAGGTCGTTCAAATTTTCTTTTAAAACACGTGTCTGGAACTCTGCTTGCCACGCCCGTTTTAGCTCTGCAGCTGCCGCCATACTCAGCCAGTGTTCGCTTTGATCGGGGAACATTACGCGCATTGTTCGGTTTGTAGCTGGAGAAGCGATCGGTTCGACTGTCGGCGTGACGTAATGTTGTGCAGTATACGTCTCGCTGCTATGCTTTAAGCTCATTGCGCTTGGGGTAACCTGAGGCTCCGATTACATGCTGGAGGTCACGATCGGCTCGCTCTGTGTGACGTTCGGTGAGTTTAAGAGATGGGTAGGTTTCCAGCTTTCGTTGGCTGGCGTCTGCGCGTGAGCTTTGTTTTGAACAATCGGTGCTATTTGCGGGTTCTCTTCTAACATGAGCGACATGTCGATCGGCCCTGCGGCTCCTTGTGGCGAGCTTGTCGTGAAGCCTGATTGCTCTTTGTCGTCTTCCTTCTCGTCGTTAGCGCCTAGTGTCATTTCTGCCTCTAGCACCGTACGAATATCGTCGAATATATCGTTCGGTAGGAATTCTGACTGGAAGAAGGTGCGTGCTAAATCGTTTCGCGTTTCTTCCGCTAGTGTTGGATTATCGAAGCGCGTTTGTATGAAGTCGCTTCCGGTGTAGTCGCCGTTTAATCGTCGGTACAGTCTGTTACCTCTTTCGTATATCGAACCGTCGTTTCGCAGCTCTAAACGGTTTAACGCGTCTGCCATTACATCGCTTGGCAGCCCTTGAATCCATGATTTTAAACGAGTATTTTTGTTATCTTTGAAAATTGTTAAGTTTTCGATTGTCCAGCTGTCGGTTGCCATTTCGTCCGCTCGTGGGGTTTGTAAAAAAAAGTCAAATAGCCAAGGGAAAGGGAAGTTTTATACAGACCACGAGCAAAGGAGAATGGAAAGAAAAATAACCAAATAAGTGGATTTAGTGATTAACAGAACTTTGTGAATTGTCTAACTTCTCAACCGACGCTGGGCAGTTACATCGAGTGACTTTAAACACGAATTGTAAGTGTTCTATCTAATGAGCCGCGTAACACACGTTTCGCTGGCGCTTACATGTTTTTGGGTGTTGGATATACGGTTTTTAATGTTGCGCGTAGTATTTGTATACGGGCATTTGATTTAGTTCCCGCTGTTGCCTTATTCGCAGTACGGCCTTTCGTAAGTTGCGACGTTGTTTACGTCGCTCCGTAGTGTGTACGATGCTTTGCAGCTACTGCTTTGTTTACATCGCGCGCTAGCGTTTGGAGTGTAAACACAACGGCTCGCGTACCTGTCTTTACTTGTTTTTGCCTTCTGATGCGCGCGTTTACGCTTGAATACATTTTTTCACTTGCGTATTTAGCTACTACAGACCTAATATCGGTTGGACGCCATTATGTAACGAGGTTCTTAATACCCCGTTAAGGGTGATGCTAAGTGGCTACTCGGCTTGCGGGTAACTCGTTATGGGGAACACGCGGGACTCAGCCCAGCGGCTCAGTTATGCCCCTCGAAGGCACCCTTGCCATCGGCCCGCGGAGAGCGTCGTAGGTCAGGTAGCAGCGGACGGTGCAAGTCGGCGCGCGCGTGACACGGGTGGGAGGAAGTGCCGAGAGGAAAGACGCAGCGGTTAGCAGAAAGAGTATTTATTAAGACGAAGATAACAAAGGAAGCATACAAATAGCATTCGCAGTGAGAGAGGCAAGCGAGAAGCAAGCGAGAGAGAGAGTCTTAAGATCGAACGGGCACTTACATGACAAGTTCGCAGTGGCCTCGGCTTTAGACTTGACACGCGTAGGTGTTCAGCCACGAGGCAGCTCTCTCGGGCTGACCGGCTAAGATCTGCAAGCACGCACCCACGCACGCACGCACCCTACACCCTTCGTCTTTATCGGCAAGAAAACCCGAGCTGCGTAGCACAAAGCACTTCTTCCTCGCGCTGATCGCCGAACTTGCTTGCTTTCGCGAAGGCGGGCAGCCAACTCTGTCTCGCACGCGGACGTGGTCCCCCTCTCTCGCGCTAGCTATTCGGCAGCGGCGCGTCTCAGCCAATTAGGCAACGTGCGCGACACTCGGGCGTCCACGCTTACACGCGTACACGCGGATCTCTCTCTCTACTCGGTTCTCCCTGACTTACCTCGTGCCGCGTCTACAGCTACGGCAAGGCAAAAATACATAAAGAAAAGAATACATGGGTTATCAACAGATTATGATTAACTTAAGGGGAGAGAGAGACATAACGAGCCTCGGCTCGTTATAATATATTATACAAGATAATGTCATATTTTTATCTATATAAATGTGTTGATAAGTAACTGTCGAAAGATTATGAATTAGATATCCTTTCAAATAATAAAGAAAGAAGATTCTTACCAGTGTGCCCATTCATTGCTGCTAACATTAATGGAGATATACCTAATTTAGATCCAGTTCTGGAATTTATTTCAGCACCATGATTCAATAAAAGTTTTATAATATTAACATATCCACCACTAGCTGCAAGACTAAGTGGTGTATAATCAGAAACATTTCGATGCTCTTTATTAGCTGCTCTATTTAATAATAATTCAACAACTTCGTATCTGCCTCCACTACATGCAAGCGAAAGTGGAGTATCTTTCGTTCTTTCTGACTGAGCCTCTAAATCAGCTCCATGATTTAAAAGAATTTCAACTACCTTTTGATGCCCAGCAGTAGCTGCTAATATTAGAGGTGTGAAGCCTTTTTTATCTCTGTGTTCTGAAATAATATTATAGAGATTAACATTAAAAAATATATTAAAAGTAAATAAAAATGCAAACTTTCAATCAGAAAAATATTAGTAAATATATAATTTATATAAGTATAATTTATAAGAATAATATGAAATATATCAATAATGAATTTATTTCCTAACGAGATCTCTTTAAATTTATCAAATTTTTTTATTGTAAATTACTAAAGTCAACAGTTAATATTGTTATTTTATATCCTAAATCTATCAAGCTTTGTACTTATATAAAACCATAAAAAATAAAAATTTTGATCCCAGGTTCAATTTTTTTAAATGCATTTAACTTATTTTATAAAAGTGGGTAAGATGAGACGGGGATCAAATCGAATAGCCAAAGAGTGAAATTGAAATTTTTCATATCTTGTAAATACTATTAAATTTTACCAATTAAATGTAAGTTATCGTTTTTTTGCCAAATATTTTGATGTCGCCTGCTTCGCAGTATACCACTAAAACTCTATCTTTATATTTCTTTCAAGAAAGGTGAAAAAGATTGCAATTATTAATTCTGAATAGTACATTTCATAACGAATGTCGGGAGTAGATCATTTCCGTATGGGTAAAGATTGCCAATGTCCGTACGAGATCATCCATTTCACCCACCAGTTATGTATAATATTTTTTCATATAAGCTATAGGGGAACTTCGTTTCCACTCATAAAATGGAGCCAGGTCTTCGAGCGCTGCCATATTGGATTAGAGTGCCACCATATTGGTAAGTATAAAATTGTATGGGAAAGGTAGGTAAGTATGGAATCTATTGATTGAAATTGAAGATCAATGTGAAAGAGCTTAGGAGAAATTATGTAGAGAATATTTTAACTTGATTATTTGTTTATTGCTGATTTTATGCTGTATAAATAATGGTTACTGTTAAAGATATTATTCCTAATGACACGATTGATAAATTTCAAAGATAATACTATGTAAGTATTTTCTTATTTATTTACAATCCCTTCTTGTTATAATAATTACAAGATTCTAATGATGGAAAATAATAAATATACTTTTGAGAAATAAAAAGTGATGACTATTTCATTATTTATAAGAATTTATTAAAGTGACGTTTTAGTCGTATGGTACAATCGAAATTATCTGACCCTTTTTAAACTTAGAAGAAATGATTGCACGGTGATGGTAAAGCATATAATTAGTATTTATCTTCTAATATGAATAAAACTGTAATTTAATTGTTAAAATTAGAGTACTATGATGAGTTTAATAATTTTAGAAAAAAACTTACTCCTAACACCCAGACATTAAACGAGACAATATTTAGACTGGCGAGAGCCTCGAGTATTGAGACATCTGTTGCGCTCATAATCGGCATAGAGCCAGTCGTCACGCGTTAAAAAAAAGCGCGGAAAATACGGGAAAACCAAAGTGTCTTTTAGTAGTCAGTCGCTGATGCGCTAGCAACAAGAGCTTTATCGCATAAATATGTGAAAAGGATCGGGCATTGTCAGGCGAGCTGGTTGCATATGTGAGCATCATGTATCACGTTCGCCTGCCTGCTCGAAAATAAAAACTATGCGATTTGCATTAGTGTATAAAATGTGAGCAAATATGTAAACAATCCGTCACTATGATATGATAATAAATTATGCAAATGGCATGTGGATATAAAGTTAGAAACGAATCTCAACCCAGCTTAGCGATTGGGAAAAAAAAGGATAACGGTGATTGCTAGTGACCAATAATGAGCAAAATAATCAATGTGTTGATGGTGATGTTTATATGCATTTCTCGTGGAGGTTCGCTCAATCACAAGTGGTTGGTCACGATCCCTCTGCATTATTGAAAGATAAACACGTAAAAACGTATCACCAACTCTGCCAGCGATCTGATGCGTGAACCCTTACCGAGACGTACTCGACGTCTGAACGGACTATTATTTCATGTGTATATATTTTTAGAACAATATATCTAAAATCTTAATCCTACTTAACTTCTTGATTATTCCTGTATCCCGAATTATCCTCTCGAGGACTAACAGCATTTTAAGTAATTCACGGTTGTGGTGATTACCTCACACGTCAAGATACGTTACATTAAGAAGATAACTTTATTGCATATCGATCTTTCACGTTACAACTTGAAAATTAATTTTAGACCTTATAACGAGTGTGAATGAGACTCGTTATGTCTTACTCTCCCATATTCTAATTTATTAATATAAGCCTAATGTATGTAACTTGTCATTTTAATTTCAGTGGGCTGAAGCAAGGTAGGTAAGAGAAAGAAAGAGTAGGACGGAGAGAGAGAGACGGTTCGACTATCGAACGCGCGGACCGCGAGGAGGGCGCTTGATTTTCTTGGCGCGGAAGATTCGGCGATCGTTCTTCAACGCGAGCGCACGTGTTTAGCTGACGATACGATACTCGTGCCTCGAGTCTGTGATTCCTGGACAGCGTGATTGAGAGTGTGTAGTGTGAGAGAGTTGCCGAACTGTATTAACGTGAGAGTGTAGAGTGTGTGGAGTGCCACCGGCGCCAGCCTATTCGGGCTTATAGTTTAACCCTTATGTGCACAACCAACTTTTCCCACACTAATGCACAACAGGGGTACCCGGGTAACCCACCCCCAGTTTTAATGACCTTTTATGTATGAATATGTTTGAAATCATGTGCAATCTATTTTTTTGAATAAATTAACATGAATTAAATGTATTTGACCAATTTCCGAGTTGCACAGTACAGTTTAGTAGCTTTGAGAATAAATCGGCGCAAAGATTTTGGGTACTCAGCGGGTGGTGCAAGGTCAGTTTTCGCATTCGGCGGTTGACAGCTGTTCGTAATGTTTTCATGACGGATAGTATGGTGGTATACCTTCATTACTATAGCCACCTGAGATCTCTGTAGCATCTACAGCTCAGTCATTCGTTTCTAGCGAAGGGGAGCGGACGCGCTTCGCAAGCAAACTTAGCAGTACCGTTGTGCGCCAAGCAACGTCTAGGGCAGAAACGACACCGACTTTATGTTTGAAACTTATTACAATTGAAGAGGTATTGTTGAGTGTTTTTTTATTGTTATTTCGTGAGCAGTGCTTGATATTTATATCATGCAAAATCATCTATCACGTTCCGAGTTCTCAAGGTAAGACTTGTGTCCTAGTATAATTATCAAGTTTCATTCTATTTTCGTGACAGTTTTTCAACATAAAAATGTATTGAATTTAGATTGACTCGTGCAAGAAAGCATGCATACATCAACAATCTGCTTGGAGACGCCAATGATTCCTCGAAATGCGACGATGACAGCGATGATGAAAACTGGCTACCGAGAGAAGCTATAAACGCAGCAATAGACACTGACTATGATCCAGCAACTACTGGCGGGGAGTCCGAAGGGGAGGGAGAGGAGAGCAGTGAATCTGAGCAAAGTGAAGATGAGGATAGGTCTTCAAGTATACCGATCAGAGGAGAACAAGCAGGTACGGAAAATGCTACTGAATATATAGCAAAAGACAAAACAGTTTGAAGTAAAACTCCATCCGATATTCATCAAGTAGCTGCTCACAATGTTCTGCGATAAAGAAGCGGGACGTATAGATCTACAGATACTTTGTCGGTAGGAGATACATTCAAAAAAATTATTAGAGTTGAAATTGTCGACATAATTGTTCGTTGTACAAATCAGAAAGCAAAAGCCGTGTTTGAAAACTATAATGTAAATAATCCGGAATCGAATCGATCGTGGCGTCCCGTGACCATGCAAGAAATGTATGCGTTTATTGGAATTTTGATATGCTCGGGAGCAAATAATTCTAACACAGATCACACCAGCGAAATGTGGAAAAGCACTTTATATCCTTTATATCGTGCAGCAATGGGCGTCAATAAATTTCGTGCTATATTGCGATTCATTCGTTTTGACGATGCAAACACTCGTCAAGAAAGATCAGAGCAAGACAAAGCTGCTCCTATTCGAGATGTATGGACAATGTTCAATTCAAATTTGACTAAGTTGTATAAGCCAACCGAAAATTTGACTATTGACGAGCAGTTGTATCCATATCCCGGACACACGAAATTTACTCACTATATTCCTTCAAAGTCAGCAAAATACGGAATCAAAATTTGGTGGATTTGCGATGCTGAAAACGCTTATCCTTTGAAAGGAATTATCTACACGGGAAAAATTGCCAACGTTCGTGAAAAAAATCAAGGAGAGAGAGTTGTGAAAGAGCTGGCAGCTCCATTCAAAAATAGTGGTAGGAATATAACAATGGATAATTATTTCACTACTCTGCCACTTGCCAAACACTTGCTGTCATGGAAATTGACTATTACAAAAACTTTGAGGAAGAATAAACCTTATATCCCTAAGCAATGACTGCTAATAAACCAAGGCCTGAATACTCTTCTCTCTTTAGTTTTCACGAACGCAACGTTGCATTTTGCTCGTATATACCGAAAAAAAATAAAGCTGTAATTTTAATGTCATCCATGCACTCCGATGCTTCTGTAAACGACGACGAGAAAAAAACCGAACATGATTACGTATTATAATAGATATAAATCAGGCGTTGATACGATGGATCAAATGGTCAGTCGTTACACTTGTCATCGACGAACGCAGAGGTGGCCACTTGCAATGTTCTTCAATATTTTAGATGTTGGAGCACTTGCGGCGTATGTAATTTACCACGAAAATAACAATATGTTACAAAAAAAAAACGAATCAGTGACGTATTTTCTTGCGCCAGCTGAGTGAAGAAATTGCTAAACCGTTTATCGAGGATCGCTCTTCCAACATGCAAGTTATACGTCACCATTGGACGAAAAATGCGATCGAGGACGTTCTTGGCGTTGAGCTTGCTGCTACTCCGATTGTCGAAAAAGAAACTGTAGCTCATGATAGTACAGGTAGGATCAAAGTAACAGGTTCTTGTCACTTGTGTTACCGCGAAACAATCAAAAGGCGTAGGAAAACTCGAAAATGTTGTGCTAACTGTGAAAAACCTG